TAGATTCACATCTATTATAGATACTTACTATAATAATAAATTATTTAATTATAGGTTTCATGTAGTTTGGTGGTAAAAAAAAACTATGTTGAACATGTTATAATAAAACGACTTTGTTTAGTAAAATTGTTTAATGTGGTAGATCCGAGATTTGAAAAAAAAAGGGAAGAATTATTTCGGCAGAGCTTATAAGTATTGTATATTATATTCAATGTATAATATTATAGCGTATTCAACAGTAACAGCCCCACGGCCGATTCTAGCTCGTTAAGTCTTTTGAACCAGCTTGCCACGCTGATTGATGTTTTTGTCTTGAACTTCAAGAGCCTATGATAGACCTATTATATATTCGAGTTATAGTGAGGAAATCGGGTACATTCAATAAGCAAAAAAAAAAAAATGTTTTCTTTTATAAAAATTATATTGGTGAAAACTAAAAAAAAGCTGAAGATTTCCATTATATTTCATTAAATTTAAAAAATAACTATGCACGCATTTCTTCAACGTTCTGTGAAGGAGATTAAAAATGGTCTCAAAAGCTAAACTAGAAAATTCAAAAAAATATTCAAATATGTATCTATACGATCTATGCCGTATTTGAATACTGTATGCATAAAATGTTTAACAGGTTAACTGCTACGTCAGTTTTCAGTACATTGCCAAAAGCGCCACGTGTACCATTTTTGGTACACTTGTTGTTTTTCCAATAAGTTTTTGTGTACCAGTAGTGGTACACGGGAGTATTTGCCAAAAAGTGTTAAGTGTACCTACTATGGTACACATAAATACTTCTTATTTCTTACTTTATGTAGTACATCAGTGAAACGTTGGTTATGAAAATATAATTTACCGGTTATACGTAGAATCTAAAACGGTCTAAAAACGCAAGTTTAATATATGTACAGCGTTATTTTCACTACTTATACAATAATAATAACATACGATGATAATCATTTAGATGTACTTAAATAATTGTTATCGATCAATCACTCGAAAATTTTTACTTTCATCTGCTGCCATTATAATAGGTGGTATACCTATAATTTGTCATGCCTATAAATAATAATTATCAACCGAAATGTTGTTTCGTGGGCCCATACATACACACCAAACAATCACGTACCATATAGTAGGTCAATGCTAATCAAGGTTACGATTTACGAATGTCTTTATGTAACACTAGGTACCAAATACATAAATGATAATATATGTCATTATAAATATTATTATCATCAGTTTTTGAATTCGTAATTGAATATATATTTTTTTACCTCTGCGCAACGTTCCGACATCTACAGTGAACTCAATGTCCGTAAATGTGATGTCAATCGGATTATTTTTGGGTAGGTGCATAAGCACCATTCGAGGAGCGGATGCCATGTTTTAATCCGAATTGGCTTGTTCTCACGTTTTTTTGACTGATCCACGAACTGAATTATTTCTCGGATGGTATCTGTTTTAACGATRATTGTATGTGTATATGTTCATCATAGGAATGCGTCATCCGTTAGGATACCTGTGAACGAAAACAAATTGATGTATAATTAGTAATTTTTTTTTGTTTTTGTTTTTAAATGTAATTAATAATTACATTTAAAAACAAAAATTGACAATATAATCATTGTCACTTAATCGGTTAATGCGACCCATCTTCCCCATATCGTTTTATTTTGAAGGGAAGCTGAAATAACAGTTTTGAGCATCATAATACCTTCCGCGARACTTCAATTAAATTTATTAAAATTGTATTATTGTGTCAAACAGTGTCACGGCAGTGTGTACAGATATTCATTTTCGTTCTTCTAAACATATTCAGTATTAATATACTGTCTGTAATATTGCAATAAACAGAATTTACGAATTTATTTTCAGCGTAGATATTATTTAAACGAATACTAGTTATGTATGGGCGAAAACGAAACGAAATGTCAAGGATGGATTACTTACTATGTTATATGTATATTTAATTGTTAAATATCTGAAACATATTTCGAACCTTATATAATTATTATTAAAATATATTATGTCAAACGATCAGTATATTATAATATATTATAATGTATAGTTTAGAAAATTATGTTATCAAATAATACATATAACATTATACCTATTAAATTAACATTAATGCATACACTATTCATCGTACTAATAGTCTAGTKTGACATTAAATACAAGAATTAATTAGTTGATCATTTCACAATTTGTCATCATCAAACAAATGTTAGGCAATAAAACCAATAATGAATAGGTGAGTAGAAGATATTAGCTATTATATATGAACTTATAAATATTATTTAGTAGGTATTTCATTTGTAATTTAATATTTTTAACATAATATAAAATATTTCACTTAACCTAACATTAAGATACAATCTAAGAGTAAGAGTAAGACATACCTATGGGAAATATATTATATGAAGCATAATATTTAAATTAGGGCTACATGAATTCTAATATAAAATTATAAATTATATGAGTCAAAACTCAATGACGTTCAAGTATCAAAATAACTTATCTATTCTATGTAGTAAGTTTACTTTATCAACCAATGGAAGTWAAATAATTTAAATAAATCAAATATCTCCGAAGCTATATTTAACCTCCGAGAATTRAAATATAAATACCTATTATAAAAATGTACACATTTTTATTGCAGTTGCATAATATGATAAGCAAAAGAATATAAAAGGTTACATATATACGAGTATACTGAACACTGAAGCACATTCAGGGTGCATCATGATAGAATTTTGACATAAYATTTCAATGTAATTTTCTAGCAAATTATTGTTAAGCATGTTAAACCCTGCAATACATTCAGCCTCTTATTTAATAGCTCCTAACATAGAACTTCCAGGAATATCATCTCGTATATTATATAGGATAGTGTTTCACCTTGTTCATTTGTGTATTATTTAYATTTACCCATTTTGTGCCTCAGATTTATGACGTACATAATTATAATATGAATTATTTATTGAAATAATTAAATCAATTTTTAAAATAATATTTACATAAATTAATTCTAATTATTCGAAACAATACATTTATGTATTTGTATAGAGGTTTACTGCAAAAGCCTGAGACATTGTATACCTATGACCAGGCCAAGTTTATAAGGGATCCAAATCCAATAGTGTTAGGCTTCCCATGTATGCCCCCCCCCTCGGAAGCTAAATCCTAGTTACGAAGTTGCATACAGTTTATGAAATATTCTATTAGGCAGYTAAATGTTATGTATATTGTTTCAAGCTCGGAACATTTTTATAAGTAATGTAACCAAAATTGGCATGTTTGGGATTCATATTTGATTAAATTTTTGGAAATTTATTAGGTGCAACTAAAAAGAAAAGATTAATATAACAATTTCTTAGTTTCTCGCTTTCAACATTAGTCATTCTAAACACTAACTGTACACTTTTCCCGAGAATGTTATAAAATGATCTGTTTTCTACTTATCCATTACAATACATAAAACACGCGTTTAAATTAAATTTTATAGAAATAACGGACATTTAATATGTATATCCCATGACCATTGTCAAGGTTTCCATAATAATTTGTAAACATTTAATACACTACATTATTAATTATTATKCCATATGCACACCAACCACGTTTATAATAATATGTCATATGCCAACATAGGAGGTAAGTACCTTCAGTTTTAAACAATAAATTATGACGTATACATATACAATACATAGTTACATATACACCACCTTTTTCACCACAATCGATAGTTTATAGTTTTATACTATTACTTATTATATATTATTTACTATTTATATTATTATTATTATTAATACATTTGTGCAAAACGAGGTTTAAACAGCAGTAAATGGCGAACGGCCGGTTAAGTAACCGCGTGTGGGTCTGTGTATTACCTATAGGCTACGACGTATATACCGCACCAGTGTTTTGTGCGTTTTATACGCGAGGCCGACGAAATTACAGGTTTCTCAGAGCATCGAGGAGGCTGTATGAGCCGAGCGCATTCACGCGTGTCGACACTATTGCCGCCGCCATGACAATCTCTGCGGCGAAGGAGTTACTCAACGATATACTARACTGACGACGACACACATATGTTTTATTTATATACGCCGCATAGATAGGACACAATCACCGTAATAATATTATACGTATATACGTATGTATAATCAAGGCTGGGCAAGTTAATGATTTTTTTTAACTCAGTTAAGTTAAGTTAAATTAAAATCTAAATCAAGTTAATAGTTAAAAGTTAATTCAAAATKTTCYATCAATTGAATTAAGTTAAGAGTTAACCAAAATTTAATATTAACTTTTTAATTCAAGTAAAGTTAAAAAAAGTTTCTTGTTTTCTTATAGGTAAAATTAAAATAATCGGTACCTAAAATTGTTCATGTTATTAGACCAAAGATTTATTACTATTTTATGTGTGCAAAAACTAACAGTACACATTTTGTTAGCATACTTTTTTTTTTTATTATTATTATAACAATGCCTCGGCAGCTATGGGCCATTGGCTACAAAAAAATTACATAGTATTTATATAAGCAATAGATAAGTTACATTAAATWTGGTAGGTACATTATATTTATAATATATATTAATTTTTTTTTTTTTTTAGCATACTTATAACCTTATAAAATGTGTACCTGCCAGCAATTTGTATTCCTACAATAGTTCACAAAATTAAATTAAATTAACTTAACTTATTTAAATGTAAAATTAACTCAAGTTMATTAAAAGTTAATTCAAAAGCTCCTAAAGTTATTAATTAAGTTAATAAACATAAAAAAATAACTTGTTAAGTTAAAAAGTTTAAATTAACTTAACTTTAACTTATTAACGCGTTAATGCCCAGCCTTGTAGTATAATATTATTACCGCAACTATTATATAATATACATTTTATATTTACAGCCAGCATTTAAGATAGATCCTGGGTCGTTCATCATCACGTGTAAGTACTAAGTATGCATATGTTACCGTAAATGCCCGATCAGTAGGTAAACCTAGGTTTTACTGTTTGTACTCAGTAAATGCGCTGAAATTCTTAATTTTATTCGGGCTTTTACTAAACACGTTGTGTACATCCTAGGATATACGAATTGACTTAGTAAAAGCTGATCAATACACGACACACAACATTTAAGCGATAAGCTGCGTAAAAATTATAATTATATATTATTAAAACAAGCTAATGACAGTTATTTAAATGTTTATACAAAATAAAAATTCATTTATAATGCAATAATAGTWCAACATGAGCAAATAAATAAAAATTTTAAATAATAAAAATTTAAATAATTATTTMTAACCCACCAATTTTATTAATTTTTATAAACAAATAAATAATAATTCTTTTTTAAATGCATTTTTATTTTGTATAAAAATGTAAATGACTGTCAGTAGTTTATTTTAATAATATATATATAATATATATTTATATAATTATAATTTTCACACAGCTTATCACTTAAATGTTATGTGTCGTGTATTGATCAGCTTTTACTAAGTCAATTTGTATATCCTAGGATGTAGGTACACAACGTGTTTAATAAAAGCCCGAATAAAATTAAGAATWTCAGCATTTACAGAGTACAAACAGTAAAACCTAGTATTAACTAGTAAAACCTAGGTTTACCTAGTGATCGAGCATTTACGGCAACACGCATATTCCATAGGTACATCGGASATTTCAACATTTTCATCGTAAGCCACGGTAAACGAACAATACGTATTCGTTTTAAAACTGTTATAATTAGACGTAGGTACCTACGTAACGGAGAAAAATAAAAAGTGTGAAGATCTATTTCGATTTTCAGCTCCCCGATTTATTTTTAAAATCATTACAACTTACATAACGTATAATATTACGGCTATACGTATTCAAATATTGTATATGCAAATGCAAGACGTTTAACCAATGCCCAGAGTCGATATTTATCGTAATTAAAATACTATTGAATACTATATGAATGAGCYAAAATATTTTGACCTTCGCTCCCTTGTGACTTGCGTATCTATAAAAAATGAAAATACAATACATAATCTGCAATAACTGCAGAGTCGATATTGAATATATGCATTTTATATTGTAGTCAAAATAGTAAGTATTAAGTATAAAATAATATAAATATAATAATAATAATAATAATAATAATAATAATATAATATAATATACCACGTACTATTTTATATGTTATCTACTAATCAGTTTCATGTTACAGTCGACTTTCGATAATTCAAACCTTCGATAATTCGAAACCCTCGGTAATTTGAAGTAAATACTCGGTTCCTTGAAAATCACGTGGTAATTCAAACAAAAACAATGTAAGTACACTCGATAAATCGAAATTTTTCGCTCCAGTCAGAACTCAGAARTCACTGTTGGGGTTTTTGATGCTTTATTTACTATAGAAAATACTAATGAAAAAATGAAACTAATCTTTTATAATAATAATAAATAATTAAAAATGTTAGAATTAATGATAAATAACTCTAATATTATGTATCATCTAATTTA